TTCAAGAAATATTGCAACAAAACTGCAAAACAAATATTTTCAGCATTAATTTTTTACTAAAGGGTGTAATTTTAATATGCCAAAAATACATAACATATTTATTTAAATTTTTAATGAATAATTGACAAAAGTCTTGTCGCCTATACAAGATTTAGGAACAACAAATAATAACTTGACTTCTAGTTGATCATTTGGTATCAGAAGTGGCTTACATAAAATAAAAAGGCCTCTAAATTACACTTATTTTACCAAAATAAAACATGATCATGCCTTGATTTTTAATAATTTAATTAGGACAGTAAGGTCTGGCTTTGCTGAGACTAAAGTCTTGTCACTTAACAGAAATAATGTACAGTATATATCTGTATACATACAGAATATAAGGTCATGGTGCAGTGGAAATAGAATTAATATCGTGTATGACTTCCCTGAGTTTGGAAGACTGCATCCATCTCTCCAATGACTTAAATAACTTATTAATAAAGTCATCTGCAATAGAAAAGAAAGCATTCTCGCAGGACTCCCAGAGTTCATCGATATTCTTTGGATTTATCATCAATGCCTCCTCCTTCATCTTACCCCAGACATGCTCAATAATGTTCATTCTGGTGACTGGGCTGGCCAATCCTGGAGCACCTTAACCTTTTTTGCTTTCAGGAACTTTGATGTGGAGGCTAAAGTATGAGAAGGAGCGCTATCCTGCTGAAGAATTTGCCCTCTCCTGTGGTTTGTAATGTAATGGGCAGCACAAATGCCTCAGGCTGTTGATGTTGATATCCACTCTGCAGATCTCTCGCACACCCTCATACTGAATGTAACCCCAAAGCATGATTTTTCCTTCAACAAACTTGACTGATTTCTGTGAGAATCTTGGGTCCATGTGGGTTCCAATAGGTCTTCTGCAGTATTAGTTATGATTGGGATGCAGTTTAATATTAATTCATCAGAAAAACTACCTTCTGCCACTTTTCCAAATAATCAACTAGAAGTCAAGTTATTATTTGTTGCTCATACACCTGGAATCAATGACAAGACTTTTGTCAGTGTACAGGTGGCATTTTAAAACATTAAAATCATCTAATAGTTATGAAAATGCCCAAAATCTTTAACCATATTTAAGATTTTATGCTAATTAATAAATATATTATTAATTTGTGAATTATTTATATTCCTAACATTAGCATGGTTGTGAATGTTCACATGTTTTTGTGCAATTATACAAACAAACAACTACATCAGGGGTGGCCAACAATGTTCCTGGAGAGCCACCATCCTGCAGATTTCAGTTGCAACCCATATCAAACACACCTGCATGTAATTCAGGTCCTAATTAATTGGTTCAGGTGTGTTTGATATAGGTAGCAACTGAAATCTGCAGGAAGGTGGCTCTCCAGGAACAGGGTTGGGCACCCCTGAACTACATTAAATTATTAATTAATAAACACAAATTAAGAAATAAAAAAAGTAAATCCAAACAATGCTTCAAGCAGTCACACATTTCATTCTATTTTAATTTCAATTCCTTGAAATACAAATCTGCATATTATTTGATCCTTCAATTCATATTAAACTGAAATCCACAGTTCTTAAATCAATTCAGAGGTTGAAGGCGCAACACAGAATTCATCAACAGTTTCCCATCATTCCAGCATTCATTTTTAAAACCAACACTTTAAACATTCAGCATATCTACACTTACCAGATGCATTTAAAGTCTTCAGAGAGCAAGGAAAACAAGTTTCTCATTCTTCTTGACTCTTACTTCAGTGTAACGCAACCCATTCTTCATTTTTAAATTGATTCACAAACCACTTATGAACGTTAATTCTTTCACAATTTAGTCCTTGAACGGTCAGAATCCACTTAAATCAAATAAAAGCTTCAAATATATCCAGCACATCTAGAATACTAAATCATTTAAAAAGTCCACACGAATGGACATCCGAATGCCATTAAAACAAAAGCGCGCAGAAGAACGCCATCAGCATCTCATGCAAAATTTAAAGCCAGTAATTGTGATTACGCAAGTCAGAAACTCCCAACAAGGCAAATCTTCCTCACCTTTATGTATTTTCCCCTATGCGATTCAGCCACATCTCTCCAGCCTTATTCTATGCCTGATGTATGTGAAGTACTTTATTATGGCAACTCCTAATCCCGCTCTTGGCAGAAAGTGCTTTTCTAAGGGAACATTATGAGACGTGCTACAATCTCAGATACACTCAACCCGCAAAACCAACACAGCGAGCTCGGCAGGAGCGCCACAGCCTGCGCCTAATCTGTCTTCAGATGGATGCTTTAATACGGCAGTCCAAAGAGCCCCGTGCCTACGGCGTGAGCTACATCAGAACGTGGGCACGAGGCCCCAAAGCCGTCATGCTAAACGCTAACCGCTTCTGAAGATGGGTTTGATGTGCTTAGAGCTCTGTGCTGAGAGATTATACAGGGAATTTATTTCAACACCCTCTGAGACATTTTTTTCTTACCTCTAGCATAGAAATGAGCACCGCTTCAAAACGGATCTCAGCTAACACAAAAGGGGCGCTGGGTTTGTTTAACAAGTCATAAATGAACAGGAGTGAGTACTGTGGACAGTTTGTTCAACCCTTCACAGATCCAGAGAACCAGTCGTAGATTGTTGGGTGAATTGATAATACTAGCTGAAAGTCTAACATTCTCATATTTGTTGATAAACACAAATATTAAAATGCTGAATTAAATCTAGTCTTTTACTAAAAAGTAGTCAACCTTTGAATATATTATGGTAATAAACAAATCATGAATTGAAAAATAGAATTCCAACATATTAAATGCATCAAATGCATCAATACTAATATTTTCAATATGCATCAATATTTCTCTTGAATCAATTCTGAACTTCTGTAAATTGTGTTTACATCAATCTTATGATACAAATACTCTAAAATAACAAAAATTCATTTCATGAAACCTTAAAAAAGCCTCATAATTTTTCAAAAACTTAACTCACTATTTTATTTGTCTAGACAACTTTTATACTGTAACTACACAAGGCATTGGAAAGGCAAGGTAAGCTAGCATGAAATCCAGCAGCTGGAAAGACGGGTGCATTAAACAAGAGTGTCTCTGTCTTTCAGTAATGGGGTATATGCACACAGACTTTTAGTTTCAGTTAGCCAGCCCCAGGGCGTCTGGTATATTGTCATCTCACACAAAATTGCCACATTTAAAGGTGCAGTAGGTGATCTGCCACAATGCTAACCGGCTAGCATAAATCTCTGAAACACAGTCCCTTCCCTGCCGTCCAAAGCCACGCCTCCTGAAACACAAGTATGCGCACCTTAAAGATGACAGCAGATCCCTCACTCAGCAACTAGTGGCTGGCCGGGAATTATACTTACTACTCAGCCATACTTACATGCTATTTCTGGCCGAATATTCAGAGCAGCATGGTAAACAATATAGGGAGTGTGTCACAGGTTGTCATTGTTCAAAAATGGACCAATGTGATGTAAATGTAAAACCAACTTCAGCTCAGTAAAGCAGGCTAGGCGGAATAGCGATATTCACTGATGTTTTGTTGTTAAACTAAATTAAAATCTACATCATCGATGCGGTAAAATGTCCCTCATGAAACTGAAAATCGTCACATAAATCTATCGCAGGAAGATTTCAGTGACTTAACAGCACTTCTGTGCATATAACCCACTCGTAAAACAATCTACATCAGCTTTGCGTGAAGCTAAAATAGTTTTAAAACAGAACATTACCTGTCTAAAAGAAATCCTTCAGACATGGTGTCGTCCTTCCTCCAGCGTGCAAAACTAACTCCAGTATTGATTCAGGATGTTTATACTGCTCACGTTCTCTCCCTTTCTCTCTCTCTCTCTCTCGTGTGCATGTGAACCTACAGCGTGTACGCACAAATGGTGGATCTGCGTTTAAACGGCTGCACAATAGTTCGAATCTGCATTTGCTGACAGACAGTTTGGGCTACTTATCTGAATTATACGAAATGTTGGCCCAACACTATTTAATTGGATGAACTTTTTTTAGTCTTATGCCTTACCCAGAATATAAAAATAGATATAAATACATTAATATCATTTACTTTAATCATTACTATTGAACTGTGAAGAGACTTTCAACCAGCACAACAAAAAACTCTGAATACAATCAACTACTGCACCTTTAATATCTGATTACTTAAAAAAAAATTTAAAAATTAAAATAAAAATTACTACCACTACCTGACTGAGATATAATATAAAGCGGTTATCAGACCAAACAAGAAGCAACGAATTAAATTATATTTTTCCATGCCATGTCTTTAAAATATGGAAATCAAATCAAAATCAAATTTTAATATACTTTTAATAAACTTTTATTGTCACATCATCAGCAGCACATGCATTATGATGAGTGAAAAGCTTCGGTGCTGGCTCCACACAGTGCAACGTACAACATATTCCCAAAAAACAAAACAATATACAATTGGCAATGTTGACAGTAATACGTAGAAGACATATTGACTGTTGGTGGTAAACTTTTGTAGGCGATATTGTTTTAAGTACGGATTGGTGCAATGCATGCTACATCTTGATGGTATGCAGTGAAGGGTATAAAAACAGTTTGTGTGAGATGAGAAATTAAACTTACCCCAGTATTTTCAATGGAGTGTCTGAGCTTGCTAATAATGGTGCCTGTGTTTACACGGTCTTTTGTTTATTTTTTAAGCTTTTTAACAACCAAATGGATGCTCAAGTCTATTTACCTGATTATATTTGAACTACATTACGACATTGATGGTGTAAAAGAAACCTTATGAAATAAAAAATAAAAATAAAAAAGACATTAAGCTTTTACCGGAAGTTCATCATTGGCTGAAAAATACTAGCTGTCCATTGTACATCTGTAAAACGCTCCCACTTTTCAAGTGTCTCTCTGTCCAACAAATAAAACCCTTTACTTAATTTGACAAGACCACAGGAGTGAGAGGGTCAGACGCTGTTTCTTTGTACCTGGAATACTCTGTCTCCTAATGGCCAGAGCGCCATCTGGTGGCCTGGAGGGATTGGAGTGTTTAGTGTAGGGCCCCTCATCTGAAAAACACAAGGCATTTAAAAACCACACATTAGCAAAACCTTGTCTCATTTTGTACATGCAAGCGACATGTACACAAAGACGCAGAAGACAGGTAGAAATGATAGTCATCTTCTACACACAGCTATTATAATGGCCAACATGCTCTCAAAAGAGCCACAGCCTTCAACAACAATCATTTCAATCTGGAGCCAGCGGCTCTTTCACATACATGCTCAAAAAGGTAGGTAATCTTTATTTTAAGGGGTAGATTCAATATTGATTCTCAAAAGTCATGCATATTTTTTTTTACTACGTTATGTATTCTGTTTTTTTAAGTGTGGGATGCAGATGCAGCTCATCATATTTTCTACATAATTTATCTGTAAAGATATCTGTGCAGTGCAGTACTGCTTACAGATTATTCATCAAAGCAGCAAAGATACATGGATGATCGCAAAGAAAGAGTGCAACATGTTTGATGAGGCATTAAAAATAACGTGAAAGAGGCTGAGAAGCCTTTCTGTGTCAGGAAAAACACAGAAGCATCAGGCGGAAAGATTTTCATGAGGCTTATTTCGACTTGAACGATGTTGAAATGTCTAATCAGTCGAGTTTAAAGTAAAAGCAAATCCAATAGATTATTTGTCTACGCCTTAAAGCATCTGCAGTTTCATAATACACTCTTCACCATTAATATTAATGAAAGAACAAAAGATTAAGTGCTACTGTTGAATTTCATTTATCTATTAGGAGTCTATGAATATCTTTTGACACTGATAGCCTCAAGCAGGGCTCATACACATTTTTACTACTAAAATTTCATGACTTTTCCATGATTTTTCCAAGACTTTCAAGTGAATTTTTATGACCTAATGTTTCATGCAATGTCTACATATGCACGATAAAAGAAAAACAATGCATGTTCAAATACACCACATCGTAAAACACGCAGCAATCTATTTAGTTTTAATTTATATTTATGTAAAACTGACTTAGATAATGCTTATACCACACTAATAATGTGGGAGTATGTGATTGGCCAAGGACAGAATAGAAGTCAAGACAACTAACCCAAGGTTTCCACTACATTCATTCTTCCATGGCGGGACGCCACACCAAAATTCATCCCGCCACAGCTACATTACAGCCTATCAATCAAAACATCAATTAAAAGGTGAGTGAATCATAACAGCGCAAACTTTTCTGTAACCATAGTAGTACTGTGAGATTTTTGTTTAACCCTTTAGGGTAACATGCTGACTGATTGACTGACAGGTGCGTGATGTGTAAGACCAGCAAACAAGACGTATAGCTTTCAGTTAGGATGAACACAGTTTCCATAATCAGGGCCGGAGCAAGCTGAACTGCCGCTCTAGGCAGAGGACGATCACGCCGCCTTCAACCCCAATGTGAAAACGAAAGTGACCGGTTATGAAAATGAAGTGAGGTGTCGCGAACCTCTATTCTGCCGCCCTATGCGCGGATATAACTGAGGACGCGCGGGTGCTGAGGGAGGTGTCACGGACGCCGCCCTCTCTATTCTGCCATTCTATGCGTGGATATAACTGAGGATGCGCGGGTGTCGTGGACCTCTATTCTGTCGTCCTATGCGCGGATATAACTGAGGACACACGGGTGCTGATGGAGGTGTCGCTGACGCCGCCCTCTCTATACTGCAGCCCTAGGCGGCCGCCTAGGTCGCCTCTATGGATGCGCCGGCCCTGTCCATAATTATACTTTATTTATAGATAGAAGTCTATAGTTCTGCATACAACAAACAAGGACTTTATCTTGCTGGAGACGTTACACTTTACTTCAAGATACATTAATGCCACTCTGTAGGTCTATTGGAGATATTCATAAATATTCCTAGCCAATCTAATAAATGTTGGAGACATACTCACTACATAAATGCGCTAAATTACGCTTCAGCAGAGTTTATTTGAGAGCACACAAGAAAATCTGCACTTGAGCAGTGTATATTTGAGGCTGTGCTAGAAGTTTTGTGCACAAACAGAGGAAATGGGCTCGCAAGCAAAGAGATTTGCATGCTCGTATTACATAAATGCGATCTCGACTTGTAATACTGCGCTCACGACATCTGTCATTAAAATAACACCATAGGTAGTTGGTAGATCTGTGTAAAAGGCCTGCCGCCACAGCTGGAAAAAATCCTAGAGGAAACACTGTAACCTTTATTCAAGAATACAGATCTTTATCTTCCATGACTTTTCAAAACTTTGTGGGCTTTTCTGTTTTTCCAAAACTTTTCCAGGTCTGGAAAATGCCATGTCTAAACTCCATCACTTTTCCAGGTTTTTCATGACCGTATGAACCCTGCTCGTGCAGTGCACAGACTGTAGAACAACTTTATTTTGCATGTGCCAAATTTGTATCCCTGCTTGTGGAACTTTCTCAATCCCATGCCCATCCCTCCCACTCCAATTATGCTACAGTCCTATGAAAATAAAAGCACAAATTGTCAAAAATTAAATTGAAACCTATGAACATATATAATATCTGTGTGTGTGTGTGTGTGTGTGTGTGTGTGTGTGCGTATCTAGCTATAAATATATTAAATGTGGTCCCCACAGTCTTTGAGTTTGAAAATACATCAATCATCAATCATCAATCATATTATGACTACATATTCTATTCAGCTGAAATAGAGAGATTGGTTCACTTTTATTGTACCCATGCACCTGAAATAAAGTTTTTACTGATCGATCTTAGAAATATCAATCAAATTTGTGACTCAAAAGAATCAAATCAAATTTAGAGCATGTGCACTGCAAAACTAACTGAATCAGGGCATCTGAATCAATCTCTGAGTTCATAAAAATGCACACAGATGCTGTCAGCAACAGATCACAGTCTTCACCTCTGCGATATACAGCGAGCAGCTCCTGCTGTGGCCATCTGATTGTGGGCTCACATTTACAGGCATGGAAAACTGCGCAAAATCAGCAGGAGCCTGGTCATAATGGAGCTCTTAAAGAACAGCAGGACGGCGCACTGAGCACTGTTTACTTTGACTGCTGTAGCAAAGCTCTGCAAGTCTCCATGGGAAATTACACATATGTGGAGGCGCCTAAGAGACCCCGTGGAAATTTGTAGAGCAAAGAAAAGATGGCAATTTTAAGCACTCTGTTTATCGTCAATAATGAACATAAGTGAACCGCAATATGTTGAAATTAGTTATGGTGTACACTATTAGTGTCATATTAAAAGATCTAAACAAACATTTATATAAAGCATGCATAATAATAAGAATAGAGTTAAACAGATAGCTCACCAAAATAATGTAATTACCTCACCATATACTCCTTTAAACCTTTATGAGTTTCTTTCTTCAACTGACCACAAAAGAAGATCTTTTCAAGAAGATTAGTGCTGGTTGATGATATCCATTGACTTCCATAGCAAGAAAAAAAAAATACTATGGAGATCAATGATTAAACCAGCATTCTACAAAATATCTTCTTTTCAGGTTCAAATAGGTTCTGAACAAGTGATGGAACAATAAATCATGACAGATTTCATTTTTGTGTGAACTTTAAGTTTTATGTACGTAATATGTAAACAACCCTACCAAATAGCCAAAGCAAATTCACCAGAGCAGCTGAGTCTTTATCTATTTTCAAGAAAATGCTCACTCACTCACTCACTCACAATCCTTCGGCTTAGTCGCCACAGTAAAATGAACCACCAATTACTCTGGCAAATGTTCTTTATGCAGTGGATGCCCTTCCAGCCCCAACCCAGCACTGGGAAACCTCAAGAAAAAGTTAACACTCTTTATCATTTATTTATTGTATTCAGTACTGATCTATTCTGTTGAATCCTTGTTTTGGCTTTTACGTAATGCATGCACCAACTGGGACTTTATGTTCTCTTAGTGATTATAATTGCTTCTGCCGTCTGATTTGAAATGAAGCTGATGCCTACAATTTGTAAACTGAAAAAAATGAGCCCTCACAAGTCATTACTTAAAACAAAGTTGAATACAAGTAAAAAGATTAAACATAAGTTACTTTAATGGCATAACTTATTGACAATTTTAGTTTAAATATTTGCAGTTTGAAAACTCACAACATACATATTTTCTCTGCTTATTACTTATATTAATACCTAATGAACAATTAATATGTGATCAAATAATTGCAATTTAAAGAAATAGTTCACCAAAAAAGTGGTTTTAAACCGAACTGAATTTCTTTTATTTGTTGAATTGAAAGGGAATACTATGGAAGTCAATATTTATTGATTTCCAGCATGTTTCATGTTATTTATTTTGTGTTCAACAGTAGAAAGATACTCAAACAGGTTTGTGCCAAGTGAAGGGTGAGTTAATTATGACAATTTTTAGTTCTGAAATACAGTTGTTTTTTACAGTGAGTCAGATATTAATCTGCAAGAGTTTTTTTGTCCGTCTTACTAGAAAGTGGATTGAGCAATTTATTCTTGACGATCCGTCATGGTCAGTTTGATTTTACTGTGGTCAATGGACTGGACACAAGAAAGCCCTGAATGAATTTAAAAGCCAATCCCTTGCTTTCCTCGAAAAAAAGCTCTGAATCAGCCTGAATTAAAAATACCCTCTTCATTAATAAGTCATTTAATGGAAATGAGGGGAGGTCAAAAATAAGAGGAACCTTCTGAAGACCACAGGGAATGAGAAATAAGTCTTCTCCATTTTCTTCAGTCAGTTAACAGCAACTCCTGGGGCATTTCTGCATCAAATCAAACACTAAATTGGTGAATTAATGAATGCCCTCTTCACTAAAGCCACGGCGCTATGCGAAATTAAAGAATGATTTTTCTGTAGCACAGTAGATGAAGCCGAAATTATGGAAAGAACATTCCTGCTTAATAAACATGTAGTGAGGTTTAAAGGAATAGCTCACCAAAAAAATGAAAATGAACCTAATAACTTACTCAGGATTAGCCATCCTCTGTGACTATTTCTCTGTCAGATGAACAATTCCATGCTTTGTCATACAACTTACCAATACCC